AATCACAAGTTGAATAAAAAATTATAAAATTTTATTGTGTCGTTGTTGTTGCTTCCAATAATTTAGTTTTTTATATTCGTTACTATACCAAATAATTCGGGAGTCCTTTTAGGAAGACTCTAGTCTTGAGATCTGGAGATTGTTCACCTAATAGACGTGACCCACGTCCTTCTAAAACAACATGTTCCAGTTTTTCTAGGTCACCTCGTAATAGCCAAGTCTTCAACGTTGATGGATTCATCTGCACCTGAAAATTAAATTTAGTGAATTACACTATTTTTGTATGATGTTGCATAACATTCGTAAACATAAAAGAATTCAATTGAAAGAGAACTGTTATTCTTATTTTAGCATGTGACTATGAATTACGTTATTGATCCTCCATCAAGCAAATCTATGTTCAAGGTTCATATCGATGTGCAAATTGTTCGGTAGGGTGTGAGTTGACCATTAAATTGCTGCGCAATCTCTCTAATGAAAATGCGGAAATAATTACGAAGCAATTTTTAAGAAGTTAATTAAAGTGTAATGAATTATGTGAGAGAATTTCTTTGCAAGCTATTCCTAAAAATAAATTTTTTATATTTGCATTGAGAACACATTTACCACAGTATGTGATTTGATAGTAAATTACATTAATATCAATTTCAGTTTTGTATAATATTCTACTGAGCTTCAAAATTTTTCTAAAATTTGAATTGTTGTTCAAAATAATTCCAATAATATAAAAAATGTAAGTTGTAAAAAATTGTACTGAATAGAATAAGTATCCTATTGTTAAACGTTCAATCTATTTTTTGCCTGATAAGATTACCTTACGAAGTCGCTAGACCGAAGAGTAGGAATTAAATATTCATATTTCTCAAATAAATGCTTCATGATATGGCAATGAAAATAGATCTTGTATTCATTTCATGTTTCAAAATTTAATGTCTCAAATTAATATAGAATAAACGCAAGATATTAAAATTTTTCACAGCTTTTCTTTAATATATCTAATTAATTTAGCATTCATATCACTAACAGACCAATTTGAAGACTTCAATTAAGTACCTTCAAATTGGACACATTTTCTAATGCAATATTTAATAACTGAAGAAATTAATTGCACTCTCCAAAAGTTAAAGCATAACAAAACGAAAATTTGAGAAGTTAAAAATTAATGAAATTATTCCGAAAATGTTAGTGACTTGTAAAATATTTTAACGATTATAGAGCCTCGCAATTTCAGTTTTCCTGTTGTTAAAGTGACTGGTGAATCCCCCGGTTTATGGATCGCCTGTCACTTACGAAACTAAATGTAACATACACACACAAATAATTGATACGACGTTATCGTCACGAATCACACGTTTTATTTACGTCAAGTAATACGCAAAAGGAGGGAGAAACCAGAAAATGTTCAGTCATTGTATTCAAAATTATTTTGTTTACTTCAGTTATTCTTTTCAGTTTTAAGTAACTTCTACATTTAAATACAAACTTTATGCGGAAGGCATGTCATAAGAGACAGATAATTTTTGTGGCGATAAAGTAAAAATCTGAATCATGTTCATGAATCCGGTAATCATGTTCGCAATATTTAATTCCTTAATATATTGACTGTTATCTTCATAGAAAGAAAAACATCAAAAAGGAAAAGAAATCGGTTTATTCATACACGAGTGCACAGATTACAAAGACAAGTGTCTAAAAAATAGATTAGCAAACATAAGTGCGTGGGAAATTACGAAAGAACAAAGCATGTGCATGCACTAATCGTCGATCTTATCATTGCTCAATCCTTCGTTGCTTAACTTGTTCCCAAGAATTTACCTGGATTAACTTTGTGTCATGACATTCTTGATATTATGAGAGACTTGCGATGTTATAACAAATTTATTGACGCAAAGAAGAGAATAGAGACTAAATAGTGATCGCGATTAGTGACTAAATAGTGATCGGAAAAAGAGACCGTACGATACGAGAAAGCGTCGCGCGACGAATGAAGTCGACGTCAAGCGTCGCGACGCCACCTGCGCAGAGTAACCATAGAATTCATTGGGTCATCGAAGCTAAACACCCAGTGTATATGTATAAGAAAAAAAAGGCAAGGAACACTGTTTTTTAATAATAAGACGGATGAAGACATTCATATTAATAATTTTGGAACGAAATAACTGAGAATATTACACATAATAGGACAACGGATATCGAATTATCGAATACAGTAAATAGTTGTATTGCGTCGGAGAAAACGGACCTGTTGGATTGTTTTACTTTCTATTTGATTATCTATTCGTGGAACATGACGAATATTAATATTATAATTTTAAAGAATTGTAAAAAGTTAATTTAATGTAGCATGTAGAAGAGTAAGAAGTAACGCTGCAACTGTTGTCTGCTTGTACTACTTGCCCTACTTATTCTACTTGTCAATATCAGAAATCTTCTCCACTTTGCAGTCTATATTTACATCCCGTTTGATATCTTATTCATTTATTTTTTTAACGTATTTTATTTATGTTATATCTTGAACTTCTAATTGTAAAATAAAATAATTACATGAGAAAAAAGGGTTCAGAATCTTGTTGTTAGAATATGTAATACTATGTTTAGGCAAATAAGATAAAAGAGAAATCAGAGAAGAAAAAAACGGGAATCCTTGAATTTCGATTGAGAAAGTTAAACAAGGTTGACGCACAATCACTTGCCGGTGAATTCCCCTCGAACCGAAGCAGATATATGCATACATACATAAATAATGATCATTATCAGATTTGTGTAAACCCATAATTCTAATAGAACAGTTGCAAATTGCGTAAATTGTTCAATAAACATATCTCCTTCAATGAGATGTAACACATACACGTCATCAATGTGTTCGTGGTAAGCTTTTGAAAAAAGTTATGAGGAACAGTTAACTATCAACATATCACATTCTTACTTATTTCACTTTCTTTATTAATATAATTATTTTATGACAACATTCCTCATTTTTGGTGTAACTTAATGTTGTGGGACGTGTGACGAACGAAGAAAACTTTATGATTATGAAAAAATTAATTAGAGAAAAAAGAATTAGAGCGAGAACTTAATATTGTTGTAGAACTTGCATATATGTCTAAGTAAAGAATCTGCTACATATTTAAAAGAACTGTTATTTGTTCTAATAAATATTCATCATAGACGTTTAACGAATCTTTCCTTAACGGGAAGAATCCAGGGGACAAGACACGTTGGTATCTTTTATTCATCGTAAACATTTCCGTGAGTCCTGGAATCACTGCAGCCTAAGGATTATCGACTTTTGCGTTTCATGCTTGCAATATGTACCTCGACAATTGTTTTGTTCGTTTGCTTGTCGCTTACCTCGTTTATTTATTTAGCTCTAGCTTGACCGTCGAGATCAATATCTCTTTGGAGCAATGACACATTGATCATGCATATTGCGCGAATCTCGTGCCGATTGTGCCATCATTAATGAGATATTCAATAAATGAGACAACTACCGGGGAACACTCACGTAATTACGTGTATTCGTAGTTTTTTTGGTGTAAAAAAACATCTGACTTGATGAAAAGCGTTTAAATGCGAAAATATTTTTCAGGCACAGACATTTTCAATAACGAACAAAATTGATTGCATGAAACAACTTTGTATGTTCGATAAACACAACATATTTTTGTGTGGAAGAAGATTTATATATTAATATAAAATATGAGGAAAATCAATTATATTTAAATGTAGTATAGTAAGAATGATCGGACAGTAAGATCGAGGATTGTTCATTTTTGCCGATTTCTGCGATTTTCGATCTTATTATGCAACGTGCCACTTTAGTTTCAAGCCTCAACTCATTTCGATGAAATTATAGACTTACACTACCATTTAATAGCCACAAAAGTAAGAAGCTGTGCAGAGTATATAGTACATAAAAAAAGTGTAGCGCGGTGCATATACATATACTTCGTTTAACAAACCATTTTTATATCCTTTCATTTACGCTATTATTATAAAAAAGTTTCCAAGCCATAATTAACGAGCTCTTCATTACATAGATTGCATTGTGACAATTAGTAGCCATAACAAAAAAGATCTCACAAACGACGTATGAAAGCTAAGGTTTCTGCCGGTCAACTGGCAATGCGTACTTTGCTACGTGTCCCACTCAAACATAGTTTTCATTATTCAAGAAGAGTATGGCACAATACATACCACCTATACATCAAGTATGTATGCGTACAGAGAGTAATAAAGTTTTATGGTCACGATCAGTTGTGATATTTCAAAGAAGTCCGATTTCGAACTTTAACATTATTGGAATATAGAATGCTGTATTTGAAAAAATTACTTTTCTTTCAAACTAAAGGAAAATCAAAGACATTCTTATTTTGTAAATCATTTTTAAAATTCGATATTAATATAGAACGATATTGAAATAGGTAACTCTTTAAATTTTATTTTGTGAAAAAGTGCTCATTGATTTCCAATCTGCACTAAGTTAGACGATATGGAATAGACGGTATAGTCAAGCCAGTTGTCATAAATATGAAGAACTTAACGTGCTCGTTGATATCCTATAATTACGCTTGAAGTTTTCGTTTCTTATGTGCTCAACGTTGGAAGTATAGAACTGAAATATTCAGTGATACCTCCTCGCTCGATTTTTGAGGCATCAACAAATTTCGCAATCGTTGATTCATCAGCAGACGTTGCATTTTTTACGAACTGCAGCGAGCAAATGGGTCAATGCATTAATGTACTTCATGATCGATTTTGTGGTCGAACGTTATCATTTGTATCTGACAAAATGACAAAAAAGTTATTATCATTCATAATATTGCTCATTCCTTTTGCTTTTGCAAATGGTAATTCAGAACTATTTGTAAACGATTTTCTATATTTCATGGTTTTATTCCAATTGTGTAATACTTTTGTACAAT